CGACTCGTTTTGAGCGTTAGCCCTTCGCCATTCGCTCTGACGAAGGGCTAACGCTCGAAACGTCATTTTTTTTATTCGTTACGGTGGCCAATTTATAATTTCAACTTAGTTTATATAACCAATCAACTTGAAATAAGTATTTCCTTTTTTCTCTCTCTTTTCTTTTTGTCGCCCTTTGTTTCTTTTGTTTTGTTTTTCTTTAAATTCTTTCCACCTGCGAGAATAATTTGTCTTGTTGTTATTACCTGCCGTCCACAGTACAAAATTGGGTGCCTTGTCGCGACGTTCCTTAAAACTCCTATGACCATCTTTAAATACGGTTACTAGTCCGATCTTAGTGTCCAATAGCACACACACGTGATGCCACGTGTTGTCTGTCACGCCCATTAAATATTGACTGTGCATGAAAAATAATGAATAAATGAATTTAATTTGAAGGAAAAGAGTCTTTTGCAGACAAACCAATTTACAGAGAAAGTTGTTATTGATCTCTTCATAAACGTTGCACAAAGAAAGCAAGAAAACGCTCGTGAAGAGACATATAACCTCTCTCTATCCTTCATAGCTTAACTCAAAAGTTACCTCTACCATTTTAAAATTGTTTTTAAAGTTTACTAGTTCCTATGTTTTGAGATTTCGTGGGGTAACTTAACGGTTCCAAATATGTATATAGATGAGCTGGAAAACACCCAGTAACCCATTCGCACAAGCCCGAAAGGTGGAAGTCATTTCGTGTGGATCCCACAAAAGCTTATGCTTTTCCTATGGCAAATTATCATAATTAGATTCAAGAGTATTACTTGTGTATTTCAGCGAATAGCTTCAACGGCTCTCCCAGCAATTGAAAATAAAGTGCCTTGGCCTTTTTTACGTTACTGACGAATGGTCAGGTTGCTAATCAAGTTGCGAAATGGCGTTATCCTTAGTCATTTTGAAGACGTTGTTCGAATGGTTAAGTTACTCTTTGCTACTTCAATACGCATCCAGTCGCACTATTTCACAAATTCTTGTTAATTGCGAACTCAGGATAATTAGATGTAAAAAGCCTCTGACGAAAAGTT